TTTTCATCTTTTCACGGTGTATAATTTACCCTTAACAAATAATAGTAGTACTATCAGTCATTTGATTAACATCTTGACCTTCCACCTTTTGACCGTTGACTTTTGTAGGTTTTAGAAAGAAGTTGGTGCCAACTTACCCCACTTTTACTGAACTATGGGAATCCATTACATGGATATTTGAACTAGTATGTTCCAAGATCTGGAGCTCACATAAGAGTGCTCCATGCCACTTCAGCGTTCAACCTCTGACTTTTAGTTTTAAGTCACGCATGATATTCATCTGCACTGACAGTCTAGATGGCTGAATTGCAACAGTTTGATGCAGTAATCAATGCGATAGACGAAGAGGCCATAGTTTTTGTGTTTCCTTGATTTTCAGTTCGTGGCCAAACACGGCACCATCCGACCTGCACCTGTGTGTAAGGTTTAGGAGTACGAATGGACAACGAAACTGACCATCGATCACGTCAAATCGACCGCCAACTCCTTAGCTCCTTTTTCAAGGTACCCACACGTACCCACGATGTATCATAGAAAGCACATCCGCCAACCGACCATCGTCTTTCTTACAGCACAGTCACCTAGTGTGGTTGGTCGCCGCTTTTTGACCATTCAATATAATCATATGGGCAGCACAAACACCACGAAAAGGGCAAACGATACCAAGTGGACAGTATTGCGGATTTTGTTTGCTTTTGCCTTTGTCACTCCTTCTGCGTCTGTTTTAACAAAGGGTTGCGTGACATTCAGAGTCACGCTGTGTTCTGCTAAAAGAAACGTCTCACGAAAGACCTTGCATCTGTACGTTCCACCATCAAATACCCCAGGTGACACAAGCGTGAGCATACCGTTAGTTCCGTTGATTTTGACCAATGAGGACTCCAAATGAATAGAGTAGTCTTTATAAACCAAGGTGGCAATTTTGGTTGAATCGTTATACCACTCTAGTCTAGTGTTCTCGGTATCTGTGTTCAGTGGTAGGTTATAGGGGCACTCCAAGTCGATACTTTTTCCCTGGCAAGCTGTTATCGTATTATTGCACTTTTTCACAATAATAACGACATAATGTCGTTTTGGGGTGACCCCTTTTACTCCATACAAGAAACAGGTATACTGCTGGCCATTCATGTCCTTGCTTGTATACTCAATCTTCAGCGATCCTTGCAATCCTCCTTGTATGTTAGGGTACTTGATGTTTTGATAGGTCACAGTCATATGGGGCCCAAACGCAACCAGTCGCGTTCCATTCTGTTTCCAAACGATCTCTGAAGGGTGCAAGGTCAACACGTTTAGCAAGTCACACTCGATGATTGCAGCATCACCTTCGCATACGGTTTTCTCGCAGCCCACAGCTCTAACGGTCATCAATTTATGGATCTTGGTGTTTGACTGACAATCGTAGATTCCACTCAGATTTTGCGCAAACGATGAAATTGTCAGAGATCCGTTAGAGAAAACTTTTGTAACGCCTTTGAATTTCAAGAGAATGTTTGGCGAAAGGAAAGCCCCTTTCTCCGAGCGGTCGCCGAGATTCTGCCATTTACTAGCATTTTTATGTTCTTTGTACTTCCAAACGACAAAGGCATGTTTGCCTGAAAGGCCTTGCACTTGGCATGACGGTAACAGAAAGAACTTGTTTCTGCAAGCTGACATGACAGTGGGTTCGAGACTGAAGACATGCAGACATATCAGTGAACATACGAGCAACAGCAACACGATATCCATCTTAAATCTGGTTGGAGAAATTGCACAGTTCTTAGAAATCGTTATGAGTGTAAGTACAAAGCATTAGAAATGATTCAATTTTGAGAAAATACGTACACAGACTTAAATATGGGGGGAAAGGTATAAAATTAAAAATTCATTGAAAGAATAGGAAAAAAGGAATGTTCAAACATAAGGAATAAAAAACCTAGGCTCTTTGAGCCATCACATTTGAATGAAAACTGGACGTCATAGAAACTTAAACGAAAAATCGAAGAAAATTATCAGGAAAATAAATCTACATATTAGGAACTTAAAATATGTACAGAAAAGAAATGAATTCCGAGAAACTACCATGCCATTTTATCGTCAAACCGCACGTACGTGTCAAAAGGTCATCCATATATCCATATATAATAAATACTAAACTGCTCAATAATGTAGAATATCAAACTCGTTCTTATCATTATTCTATCCGATAAGTACAGGATTTAAGTCGCGTTCCATACTAATTGTGTTATTTTCGCTTGAATTAGTTCAGTCATTTTTTGTGACAACACAGCTGCTGTGATAAACTTGTCACTTTTCGTTGAATGAGGTCTAACGACTCGGCTTCCAAGAAATGAAGGAAGTCATAACAATAAACGTGTTTTTAAAATAGGAACATGTAATTCATGGATTTTAAGCACATTCGATTGCACATTTAGCTCTAGAATTTTTTAACACGAATCCAGCGGCATTTTTTTTTTTACCCTTGACTCATCTTTTGTTCGTATTGTTGACAAAATTTCCTCTCGCTTCCCTACTAAGGGATTAACGAGGCTTTAAAATTATTCATAAAACGGTTTTAAGCCTTTAGTATATAATGTCATACCCTGCGAGCAGAGTCTCCTTTTAACTCCTCTACGCCCGTAGAGGAGTTAAAAGGAGACTCTGCTCGCAGGGTAATAATGTCAGTGCGAATCACTTCAAATTCCTAACACTGTTGACATAATTTACCCTCACTTCCCTACTAGGGGAAAAATTGCTTCAAAATAAACATGTTTATAATATAATGCGTGAAGAAAATGTTTTTCAAAGAACGTCAAAACATGAATCCAATGTGATTTTAGAGTCTTGATTTATAATAAGGTTCAAGGTTTAGTACAAATTTGGAAGCGAATTGATTTGAAACGCAATTCCAATACAAACGAGGTGAAAGTGAAAGTATGTTACGCTGTTAAAATATACTGTAAAAAATCTAAGATTATGCTCACCCTAGATATAAAGACGACTGAATCATTCCAGTTTTAGTAAGCTCAATGTGAATTGAACCCCTCTGCACTTGGTCGCAAGATTAATTTAGCAAAAATCAAAATCATTTGAGAAATACTCTATAGACCTCGCGGATTCTCTCAACCGACGAAGTACGTCACGATCTTTTTTTGGGAATTTAAAGCGGAAGCGTTTGATGTTTTTGATTTTAAATAGACATTTTATTACATAACATCGTTTCTTTTTTTTTTGTTCCTTCCTTCCTTGCTT